AAGGACTAGGGGCAGGGGTGGGTTCTAAATTTTTTTACTACCGGTTCTGTGGGCGTGGCTTCTTTTGTGGGTGTGGCTTGGAGGTCATGTGACTAGGTGGGCATGGCTAGCTGGTCAGAGTCATTTCTGGAAGGTCTTCGTACTTACGACCAGTCCTCGCACATACGACCCGACTCATTTGTTTGCTTTTAACACTGATCAGCTGTAGGATGGCCCTTTGAAGCCCCGCGGCAAGAGTTTAAACAGGTTTTTTCCCTCTAGTCATCAGCTGGGACTCAGGAGGCAGCAATAGATTGGGGGTGGGACCAAATAAAAGGTAAGAATAACGTGGATGGGGGGGCGTGGGAGGGCAGGGGGGGGAGAACCGGTTCGGTGACGTCATATCGTCACCGCTACCGGCTCGGCCGAACCGGACCGAACCGGGAGGAACCCACCACTGACTAGGGGAGATATAATAGCAGTGTCCCAGCATTTGAGGGGCTGCCACAAAGATGAGGAAGGAAAACTATTGTCCAAAGCACCAGAAGGCAAGACAAGAAACGATGGAATGGGAACTAATCAAGGAGATAAGACCTCTAGAACTAAGGAGAAATTTCCTAACGGTGAGAACAATCAACCAGTGGAACTGCTTGCCTTCAGAAGTTGTAGGTGCCCCATCACTTTCAAGAAGAGTTTGGACAGCCATTTGTCTGAAATGGTATAGACCAGTGGATGGCTAACCTTTTCTGGATGGAGTGCCCAAAGCGTGCGCGCCCAAACCCCCAAAATGCAATGCATGTACAGCCCTCATGCATGTGGGCCGCCCCTGCGCATGTGGCCCCTGCATGCGTCCCACCACGCACCCACGCATGCCCCACACTTGCACATGTGCACGGCTCCTTGCACGCACCCCCGTGCATACATGCGGGCCCCCACGTGTCCCCCATGCACGTGCCCCACCCCTGCATGCGTACCCAGTCCCCACATCCGCCCCGCCCCTCACGCATGCGCGGCAGAGACCTGATGACCAGCTGGCCAGTGGAAGGCCCGCCTGCATGCGCGGTGGAGCTACACTGGGGTGATGGCTCGTGTGCCCACAGAGAGGGCACTGGCACGCGTGCCATAGGTTCGCCATCATGGGTATAGACTCTCCTGCTCGAGCAGCGGGTTGGACTAGTAGATGACCCCTCCAACTCTGTTAGTCTATGTTCTATGTGCCTAAGGACCTTGGAGCAAGTTCTTAACCCCGAGGAGCTCCACAGTGGAGAAGCCAGTGTTAACATCAAATTCTTAACTCTATTTGGCTTGTTTGGGAATGAAAAACTAGGGAAGATAAAACTCAAGAATATTTTCTTGCCATGGAACTCCTGACGCACTTAGGTCTTTCTGCTGGATGAGGAGTCGAGGGAGAGTATTGGGAGGAAGCGTAACTGCTTTCCAGAATTCTGGTTTGTCTTTTTTGTCTGAATACAGATTAATTTGAACAGTTGTTGATAGCAACGTTTTTGTGTGTATGCATATCTTCAAGTCAGTCTCGACTCCTGTGGACTGCCTCAGATGTAATTTTCTTGGCATTGCCTCCTTCCTTGGGCTGAGAGAATATGACTGACCCAAAATCACTTAGCTGGCTTTGGGTTTAAGGCAGATCTTACAGTCTCCCAGTTTCTAGACTGTTGCTTTCATACATACATACATATATACATACATACATACATACATACATACATACATACATACATACCCTACTTTTAGGGTACATATGTACCCTGGTACCCTAATTTTAAATTGTCTTTCTGTTTGCTTCAAGAAGCAAGGTACCCAGGCTCTTCTACTGCAGCTTGGTGACTAACTGGTTCAGCACCTTTCGGAGAATTAGAATTAGAATTAGAATTAGAATTAGAATTAGAATTAGAATTAGAATAGAATAGAATAGAATAGAATAGAATAGAATAGAATAGAATAGAATAGAATAGAATAGAATAGAATAGCAGAGTTGGAAGGGACCTTGGAGGTCTTCTAGTCCAACCCCCTGCTTAGGCAGGAAACCCTACACCACTTCAGACAAATGGTTATCCAACATTTTCTTAAAAACTTCCAGTGTTGGAGCATTCACAACCTCTGGAGGCAAGTTGTTCCACTGATTAATTGTTCTCACTGTCAGGAAATTTCTCCTTAGTTCTAAGTTGCTTCTCTCCTTGATTAGTTTCCACCCATTGCTTCTTGTCCTGCCTTCAGGTGCTTTGGAGAACAGCTTGACTCCCTCTTCTTTGTGGCAGTCCCTGAGATATTGGAAGACTGCTATCATGTCTCCCCTGGTCCTTCTTTTCATCAAACTAGACATACCCAGTTCCTGCAACCGTTCTTCATATGTTTTAGTCTCCGGTCCCCTAATCATCTTTGTTGCTCTTCTCTGCACTTTTTCTAGAGTCTCCACATCTTTTTTACACTGGATGCAGTATTCCAAGTGTGCCCTTACCAAGGCATTATAAATATAATGAGTATATAATACTGATTACAGTTTCCAGGGCCTGGCAATCAACACTTCCAACTGATTTCCTAATATCAGGCTATCTATATTTTAATAGGTAATTAAATGTCACCTCTGAAACAAGGGAGAAACTGAGGATTTATTTATTTTTTTCCAGAAATGCCACAACAACAACAACAACAACTATTTTATTGTAATTGTACATGTATATACAGTATACCCACACAACGAAATTCACTTAACACCCAAAGACTTAATGTTGTGGATGTGTCCAAACTTTGCTCATTTGTTTGATTTCTAGAAGTTTGATTTTTAGAAGTTTAGAAGTTGTTGTTCTAACTTTAAATCTATTGGCCTTTCGTTGATCAAAGCTACTGAATGGATTTTTTTTTTTTACTGAAAATCAATTTTTTAAAAACCCCAAATCATACATAGAGGAAGATTTATATAATGTATGTAATATCTAAAACTAGCATACTGGATGCATTTGAAAGAAAGCAAATTCTGGCGATGGAATATGCTGGCTTCAATTTTCCCGTATGGAGATCTGAGGGGTGTTGAGTTCCTTGACTGCAAATTGCAGCGGTTTGCCAAACTGTCTAAAAATAAAGAGGGTAGTGAGTGACTTCAATATTTTTCCTTTTGAAATATTGCTATTTTACACCATGCAGCTTAGAATAATCCTTTTTCCTGCATTGGATTTCTCCTTTCCTTCCATTGTCCATTTGCTCACTTGTCCAAGTCACCGTAACTGTCAACATTCTGTCCTGTGATGGATTTAAATAATTCGTTGTATAAAAATTTGGGGGGCAAACTATTAAGAAAATGACAAATTACACAGTGTAGAGAGTTCACAATGTTTTGTTACCTGGCTGAACTTGAGATTTTTTTTTTTTCAAGTTTCCCTTTCAAACGCAAAAGGATACACTTCCGATACTGTTTTGCAAGTAACACCTATATCCCGCAAGCTAGTCTTGAATTAAGGCAATATCTCTATTAAGGGAAATCAGCAGTAATAGCTTCTGCTTAACATAAATTTTAAATAAATCTAGCATTACTTAAATCTACATGCACACGTCTAGAGAGTCACTGTGTTGGGAGTCAAATACAGTACATATTTGAAATAGAACAGCTCCAAGTTCTTTCTTTAGGCCAGAAATGTCAAACTCGCGGTGTCATGTTGTCGTCACCAGTGGTGGGTTTCAAATTTTTTTACTACTGGTTCTGTGGGTGTGGCTTGGTGGATGTGGCTTGGCTTGGTGGGCATGGCAGAGGAAGGATACTGTAAAATCTCCATTCCATCTCAATCCAGGGGAAAGTTACTGCAAAATCCCCATTTCCTCCCGATCAGCTGGGATTCGGGAGGCAGAGAATAGATGGGGGTGGGGCCAGTCAGAATTTTTACTACCGGTTTTCCGAACTACTCAAAATTTCCGCTACCGGTTCTTAGAACTGGTCAGAACCTGCTGAAACCCATCTCAGGTCGTCATGTGTCGTATTGTGACTTTCCCCCTTTTCGCTAAACTGGGGTGGGCGTGGCCAGCGCATGATGCATCTGGCGAGTTTGACACCCCTACTCTAGGCATTGAAAAATGGAGTCATTTAGGATGTGTTTTGGGGTCAGCTTTCGCATGAATCAAAACATGGATCTGCAAGGATTGTCTTCTCATAGTAATCCCACATATAGGTGGGCACTGGTTTGATGAGCCTCCTAACTTTGAATTTCTATAATGGAACCCAATCCTTGACTGCATTTCTATAAAGTGAGTTATCCTTTATTCCTTTTAGTGAGGCCATTCCTCTACTTTCTTTTTAAGGAAGAAAGAAGAGGCAATGAGTTACTCTGATAAGGTTGTTGTTGTTAGTTGCGAAGTCATGTCCGACCCATTGTGACCCCATGGACAACATTCATTCAGGCCTTCCTGTTCTCTACCATCCTCTGGAGTCCATTTAAGCTCACACCGATTGCTTCAGTGACTCCATCCAGCCACCTCGTTCTCTGACGTCCCCTTCTTCTTTTGCCCTCAATCTTTCCCACCATTAGGCTCTTCTCCAGTGAGTCCTTAATTCTCATTAAGTGGCCAAAGTATTTGAGTTTCATCTTCAGGATCTGGCCTTCTAAAGAGCAGTCAGGGTTGATCTCCTCTAGGACTGACCGGTTGGATCGCCTTGCAGTCCAAGGGACTCACAGGAGTCTTCTCCAGCACCATAATTTTAAAGGCCTCAATTCTTTGGCTCTCAGCCTTCCTTATGGTCCAACTTTCACAGCCATACATTGCAACTGGGAAAACCATAGCATTGTCTGATAAGGACAGACCTATAATTCATGAAGTATAAAAGTAGGCTCTGTACATTACATAGTTGATGAACTTGCTTCTAAGGTTGACAGACAAAAAGCTGGTGGTTGGTAAACGGGGTAAGGAAGCTGGCCATGCTGTCCGAATAATCCCCCTTTTAATATTAGGGATGTGTTTAGAATTCTTTAATGTAAGCAATTTTCTTCTTTGACATGTATTTGTTTTTTCTCTTCTAGCTTTTCGTTGTGGCCTCCAATTTCTTGGAAATATTGCAACAGGGAACCGTGACTCCCAGAATTCAATATGGAAACTTGCTTTCCCTTCTCTTTTCTTGTAAGCATCTGCAGGTGTCACCTTTTTCTCACAAAAAAGGGTAGAGTTGCTTGAAGGTACTTTAATTGTACTTGATTTTAAGCTTCATTGATATTGTTTGCAAGTCTTAAAGTTCTTTGGAGAGAAAAAAAATTGGGGGAATAAGGGATTTGGGAATATATTCTGTGGCTTTCTTCCTCCACGTTAATTTAAAGAGTCAAAACGAGAGTTTCTGTTTTAGATTGGATTAAATTGGATTGCAGGACCACGAGCTTTTCCCTGCGGTTTAAAGATTTATGTTTAATCAAATTCAGGTAGGTGCTTTCTCCATTTTAGGCAAGATCTGCTTTCTATCATCTGTAGATGCAGATGTTGAAATTCCTTCAGGTTTGGGTATATATCCAGTGAATACCTGGACTAAATAAATAAGTAAAAATGTCAACAGAAAGTAGATTTGAAAAAAAAAAAAGACTTAATTTGCAGATGAAAAAAGGAACAAGTGTACTTGGTTAGCAAGGACATTTTGGGGCTGTCTTTGAGTCAATATTGATTCCAAGCCAGGGGTGAAAGTTCTGACAGGTTCTGGAGAACCAGTAGTAGAAACTTTGAGCAGTTCGGAGAACTGGGACCGGAAATATTGAGTAGTACGGAGAACTGGCAAATACCACCTCTGGCTGGCCCAAGAGTGGGGTGGGAATGGAAGTTTTGCAATATCCTTCCCCCAGGAGTGGGGAGGGAATGGGGAATTTTGCAGTATCCTTGCCCTGGAGTGGGGTGGGAATGGAGATTTTGCAATATCCTTCCCCTGCCACGCCCACCAAGCCATGCCCACCAAGCCATACCACGCCCACCAAGCCACGCTTTAGTAAATTTTTTAGTAAAAAATTTGGATTTCACCACTGTTCCAGGGGTCTCCAATCTTGGCAATTTTAAGACTTGTGGACTTCAACTCCCAGAGTTCCTCAGCCAGCTTTGCTATCAGTAATGTGCTAAATTTAGGGACGTGGTGGCTCAGTGGCTAAGACGCTGAGCTTGTCAATTGAAAGTTTAGCAGTTCAAATCCCTAGTGCCGCGCAACGGGCTGAGCTCCTGTTACTTGTCCCAGCTTCTGCCAACCTAGCAGTTCGAAAGCACGTAAAAAATGCAAGTAGAAAAATAGGGACCACTTTGGTGGGAAGGTAACAGCGTTCCGTGCGCCTTTGGCGTTTAGTCATGCCGGCCACATGACCACGGAGACGTTTTTGGACAGCGCTGGCTCTTTGGCTTTGAAATGGAGATGAGCACCGCCCCCTAGAGTCGGGAATGACTAGCACATATGTGCGAGGGGAACCTTTACCTTTACCTTTACTATAGCAGGGGTGTCAAACCCGCGTCATCACGTGACGTATCATGACTTCCCCCCCCTTCGCTAAACCGGGTGTGGGCGTGGCCAGTGCGTGACACATCCGGGCCGCGAGTTTAACAGCCCTGTACTATAGTATTCTTTTGTCATTAATACTTGCATATTTTTTTAACCGTATTTATAAAAGTTAGTGAAATACTGAGAGTCGGTATCGATTGGAGCAATGTATAACCCTAGCAAATAGATAAATCGATATTCTGCCCTTAACATTATTTCTTACTGCTAAACGCTCCCACTTCCCCCAGTCTCTTCTTGCTGAAAATTTCCCAGCCTCCAATCATTTTCATTGTCCCTTATCTCTCTCATTTTGTACAAAACATTTCATAATAACTTTGGTTGTAGAATTATTATAGTTTAACCACTGCTGCCGCCAGTGACTGTTCTTGTTCCTTTCTTTTCCTTTCTTTTTTTAAAGGAATTGTTTAAATCATCAGGATGAGAAAATCATTGATTATTGCTCTATGGTTCTTTTCACGTGCCTTAATCCGGAGCGAACCAAACAACTACAGGAACAAAACAACTTGAAAATTGCCCTCCGTGTTCTTCGAGCTTCTAGAAGATGCCCAGAATTGGAATGGATGTATGTATTCTGTTCAACTTTTTCAAAACGGTAACAAGGGGTCTTGCTTAGCTTTTGATAACCTTCCATTCTACAGGGTATACCGTATTTTTCGGAGTATAAGATGCACCTTACTTTATATTTCTATAAACTTGATCGGCTTGATCGTCTTGCAGTCCAAGGGGCTCGCAGGAGTCTTTTTCAGCACCAGAGTTCCAAGGCCTCAATTCTTTGGCGCTCAGCCTTTCTTATGGTCCAACTTTCACAGCCATACATTGCAACTGGGAAAACCATAGCCTTGACTATACACGTTTTTGTTGGCAGGGTGATGTCTCTGCTTTTTAGAATGCTGTCTAACTTTGCCATAGCTTTCCTCCCCAGGAGCAAGCGTCTTTTAATTTCTTGGCTGCCGTCCCCATCTGCGGTGATCTTAGAGCCCAGGAAAATAAAATCTGTCACTACCTCCATTTCTTCCCCATCTATTTGCTAGGAATTGAGAGGGCTTGATGCCATGATCTTAGTTTTCTTAATGTTGAGTTTCAAGCCATGTTATGATGCCATCATGCAAAAGAAGTGAATTGCGTAATTACATCATATAGTTACCGATGTTACATGACTGATGTTATTTATGGTTGAATTTTTGTACAATCACTAAATCTTGCATGATTTATGTGGAGGCTCCCCGCGGACTTGTGAGCCATAGCTAGACAATCCTCTTTTTCTATAGAGTCAGAATTTACAACTCTTAGCTTTTTTCTGCCTCCCTCCCTTACTTCCTCCCAATTTTTCTTTGCTGACTTTTGGTATTGTCAATTTGCACGGAACAGAATTTATTTTGGGGTAGTTGCATATTTTAATAAAATGATGGATGAGATAGGCCCGTCTATACCTTTTAAATACTTTTAGCCTTTCGAATTCTGGGGGGGGGGGGGGGGGAAGGAATATAATGACAATGATAGAATCTGGCTTATTTCTATGGAAGATGTTTCCGCCAAAACAGCTGCTTATTTGGTACAGCTTCTTGGATGTCAGAGTAATCTTTTTCCAGGAATAGGAGACGAAAAAGTGCAAAAGTTAGCTTTTGCTAGCTATGGGGTACATGCTCAGTGGGTCCAACTCACCATGTTTTAGATTTAAAAAAAAAATCAACCTAAAATTAAAGTTTATACGCTGTTTTTAAAGAAATCGAGGATCAGTGAACATATATCTACATTTGGACTTTTAAAGCAATCCCTGATTTCCCATTTACATACTGGAGGGAGAATATTAATAATTTTATAATTTTGTTACCTGGCTATGTAACTTAGTGGTACTGTAAGAAATATAACTTGACTGCTATCAGTGTGAACTACATTAATACAGGGCAGAGGTGTTAACTTCATAGTTTATTTATAACAACAATATGCCCAACTTTTTATGTGTTTTTCCTAATTTCAGGACCTTGATTGTTACCAGCCATTTGCTGAAGTGCCCCGAGTTGGTCAAAGACCTCTATGCCAAATTGAGCGATCCAGAAAGGTAACCCCAAAAACCAGTGTGGGTTTTAGTAGTTAGCATACCATCTAGAGTATCCCGTTCGTATGATTTGGGGGTGGGGGGGAGGGAAACGGTGTGGTTTTATAGTTGGCACGGAATCCCTAAATAAATGTTTCTGTGTCAGTAATGGTTTTAAATTGGTTGGTTAACATTACAATTCAGCCGCAACTGGCAAGGATTTGGATAGGAGTTGCAGAATCCAGGTTGCTGCCCTGACTTTCTAAAGAAATGCGCAGGCTGGGGATAAACGAAGGGAAGATTTCATGCTCGGGCCCCGATTTCATAATGCAGAAAAAAAGAATTACTAGCAACCTGCCTTCCATTGAGGACTTGTATACTGCACAAGTCAAAAAGAGGACTGTGAAAATACCTACAGACCAGGGTTGGGTTCTACTTACCTTTACTACGGGTTCGCAGCGGGGCCGTGCACGCAGAAGCTTCTGTGCGTGCGCAGAAGCGTTTTGATGATGTCGGGGTTGGTGGGTGGAGCCTCCCACCGGTTTTACTACCGGTTCTATAGAACCGGTGTGAACTGGGGGCAACCCACCACTGCTACAGACCCTTCACATCCTGGACATAAATTGTTTCAACTCCTACCCTCAAAATGACACTATAGAGCACTGCACACCAGAACAACTAGACACAAGAACAGTTTTTTTCCGAACGCCATCACTCTGCTAAACAAATAATTCCCTCAACACTGTCAAACTATTCACTAAGTCTGCATTACTATTAATCTTCTCATTGTTCCTATCACCCATCTCCTCCCACTTATGACTGCATGACTGTATCCTTAAGATTTATATTGACTGTTTCCCTATGACTATCATTAAGTGTTGTACCTTATGATTCTTGATGAACGTATCTTTTCTTTTATGTACACCGAGAGCGTATGCTCCAAGACAAATTCCTTGTGTGTCCAATCACACTTGGCCAATAAAAAATCTTCTATTCTATTCTATTCTATTCTATTCTATTCTATTCTATTCTATTCTATTCTATTCTATTCTATTCTATTCTATTCTATTCTAGCATTGTACCCTGCTGCACGGAATGACTCAACCTAACCTCTCATTTCGTAGCTGGAGCGAAAAAATAAAATAAAATAAAACACAGCAAAGTGTCTATCTGCCAAATCATTTCAGATACCTTCAACCCTCCAGCCAAATGAAGGGCAAGGTGAACATTTCCCTCTCCCCCCCCCCAATCAGCCATGTCTTTTTACAAACAAGCCGGCACATGAAATGAAACGAGAGAAGGATATATTAGCAAAGTGAAGAAGATTAGAAATATCAAACAGGATGTTTTGGGTATCAGTAATGTGCTAAATTTTGGGACGTGGTGGCTCAGTGGCTAAGACGCTGAGCTTGTCAATTGAAAGTTCAGCAGTTCGAATCCCTAGGGATTCGATATGGGGGAGCTCACCCCATAATGGGGTGAGCTCCCATTACTTGTCGCAGCTTCTGCCAACCTAGCAGTTCGAAAGCACGTAAAAAATGCAAGTAGAAAAATAGGGACAACCTTTGGTGGGAAGGTAACAGCGTTCCGTGCGCCTTTGGCGTTGAGTCATGCCGGCCACATGACCACAGAGACGTCTTCAGACAGCGCTGGCTCTTTGGCTTTGAAATGGAGATGAGCACCGCCCCCTAGAGTCGGGAACAACTAGCACATATGTGCGAGGGGAACCTTTTGTCAGGTTACGATGTCGTCTCAAATAAACTGCATTTCCAAACAAATAGTCTTTGATGATCTTTCATTTATTGAGCACAACAATCTGTCCCCAAGTCCATCGTAGTCAGCACTGACCTTCTGACCCCAAATCCTCCCTTTCCGTTCCCCAATTCTCTGCGTCTCATTGGCCATCTTCCAAATCACTCTCCCCATATCTACTACTTCAGCTCACAGGAATGTCCCCCCTCCCAACCCATCTCCTAGGGGATAATATCTTCAGGGAAAAGAAGTAGGTGAAGAGTCAAGCGTCCTCTTCTCTTCTTTATGTCAGCACTGGAATGAATATAGCTTGGAGTGCTGACACCTTTACCTTTACCTTTTTAATGTGCTAATATGACTGCATTTTTCCCGGACCAGCTCCATCACAAAAACCAATTTTAGTCAAAAGCACGATAGGGATCCTAGTCCTTACCCATCAGTATTTCGTAATTATGCTTTGAATGAATTAAATGGAAATCATGATTTTGGTTCAATAAGAGCGCCCAGATTTTAACTACGATTATTAGCACATACTGGGGGATAACATGCACTGAAACATAAATAAAAGCATCATAACCTAACTTAGTCAGTGGTTAGCTTCCAAACAGGGTTTGCAAACTGTCCAGATGTCCAATGGTGATACACAACTTTAACTGTGGTTAAAAAACACTGGCATCCCGAATGAAGAATCTTACTAGGCAATACTTTTAAAAACATTAACCATCCAGATAGTTAAAATTTAAAAATGGTATGAAAATCTATAACGTATCTTTGTTCCTTAGTCTACGCAACTGCACCGTATGATACATTGGGGATAATCTGAGCACAGATCCAGGCGTGGGATCTTATCTTCAAAATCCTGCAACGCTTGGACTAGAAGACATAAGCGCTTCCCTGGTCACATTGCCCTGCCTGTTCATAATCATCTTAACCTAAGGCACGGGTGTCAAACTCGGTTTTATTGAGGGCCGCATCAGGGTTGTGTTTGCCCTTGGGGGCCTGGGGTAGGCGTAGCTGGGGTGGGTGTGGCCAGCTTGATGCCACTCGTGTTGGGGGCACCTGTGGTGGCTAAGTGCTAAGACAGGACTTCCCTCAGACCCTCCCTCAGTCATTATAATCTTCCTTCCTTTCTTCCTTCCTTCCTTCCTTCCTCCCTCCCTCCCTCCCTTTTCTTCTTTTTCCTTCCCTCTTCATTCTCCTTTCTTCTTCTTTCCCGGCTTTCCTTCTTTTTCCTCCCTTGCTCTCTTCCCATCTTTTTCTTTGCCTTTCCCCGTTTCCTTCCTCCTTTCCTGTCCCCTTCTTGCATGCTCAAATGCAAAAGGGGAAACAGTTCTCCTTTTGTTTTGTTTTTAGTATGTTTTGCCCCGTTTTCACTGGCAGAGGGCTGCAGGAGGCCGTCGCGGCAGAAAACGGGGCAAGCTCCATTTTCGCTGACAAAGGCGTCGTGGGCCACTCCTTTGCTGTTTCCAGGGCGGCTCCGCAGGCCAGATCTAAGCACCCCGCGGGCCTTGAGTTTGACACCCCTGACCTAAGGCATCCAAAAAGCAGTCAGAAAGCCTCCCTGCCTAAGACTGTGTGGAAATAAATGATGCTCGGTCTATATTTGTGGGTGGGGACACCATCAGATAAGTGTCCTCTCGGCTTTCTGCAGAGTGTTGCAACCTCTGTCATTTACTCTGATGCCAAATGTGTAGACCTGCTTACCTCTGCAAGATTCAACCATGGTTAAAAGTTTCTAAAAAAAGGAAATTGGGACTAATGGTGTGGGCAGACTGGGACCGGCTCTGGAGCACCCTGATGTGCTCTTAATGATAAAGCAGGGATTGGATGCTAGTTCTGCAGCTGGTGCACTCCTGTTGCTTGCAGCGAAAGGGAAAATATTTCCGCAAACAAATCGAAACATAAAAGACGGGATGGAAAATACTACTTTTCCTTTCTCCATGCCAGCACAAACCCAGAAGGGCCTTTGATGGAACGGTTTGTTCGCTTCAGATCTCCCTACTGTGCTCAGTAGGATTGCTCTGTTAAAATATTTATTCTGATTTCTTTTTTTTTTTTTTTAAAGAATCGGTATTCTCTGAATATTGGGAACTTTTTAACCACCACAGAAATTTCCTCAGTTATAAATTAGTGGTAGCTTGCATCTTTCATGATGAATGCTCTAGTCTGCAACCTTAATATCTCATTTAATGGAATCCTTGATGCTCTCTGAGCTTGCTTGCTTCATTACAGACTAGATACATGGAACATAGAATCATAAAGTTGAAGGGGATGTTGGGGGTCTCTCCCATCTCTTCTTGAAAACCTCCATTGATGGAGCACCCACAATTTCCAGAGGCAATTTTAATTTAATTTCATTAAAACATTTTAAAAACTTACTCTGCTAATTGGGTTTTTTTTTTGTAGCTTGGGTAATATTTATACTTGCTGCTGGTCCCCATTACAGTAGCAAAGAAGGGCTATCTGTATTATCAAATTGCTCTGTAGTTCTTGTTAAAGGAGTATATACGCCAGCCTGCCTATTAAGCTTTTGATAATGGCAAAATAGTTCCTCTTTCATCATATAAAAATGTACAGCTTCCGTTCTGAAGAATGATTATTTCAAAAGTTAACAATTTAACAATACGACAATACGAAACTACCGGACAATGCAAATAGAAATTTTCCTAAAGTTTTTTTTAAATTTACCATGTTTCCCCCAAAATAAAACCCTCTCTTATATTTTTTTTGAACCCTGAAATAAGTGCTTGGTCTTATTGCCATGCACTCAAAGCCCGATTGGGCTTATTATCAGGAGAGGTCTTATTTTGGGGGAAACAAGGTATTTCTTACCTGACTCTCAGCATTATTTTAATACAGTGATTATTTTGGATTAGAAATTTTTATATTTTTACTCAGTGAGTTTCAAAAACATGAAGTTCTCAAGTGCTTATTAGAAACTGAAGCTGCTGAACATTAATCCTCCACTTCTCAGACTCCACCACCAGGGGTGGGTTCTACTTACATTTACTACTGGTTCACAGCAGGGCCGCGCACGCTCTTCTGTGCAAGCGCAGAAGCGTTTTGATGACGTTGGGGTCGGTGGGCGGAGCCTCCCGCTGGTTTTACGAACCAGGGGCAACCCACCACTGCCCACCACTGACATCTCCCAGTGTACTCTAACAATTTCTTAGTGGGTAGAAGGTTAGGTTGCGAAGAGCAGCTGAAAGGATTGCATATTAAAAATGATATCATGTAATAGACACACACATTTGCAAGAATAAGAGGTTTCCTTAAGGTGGAGTGTCTAGACTAAAAGGGCCATAATTTATTCTTTTTTTTTTTTTGAAACAAAAGTTTTTTATTTTTTATATTCAAACAACCAAACATTACACAATCAATTATCATACATCATTTTATCCCCACCCGGCCCCCCCTCCCCAATTCCACCCCCCCGACTTCCCAGAGCAAAAACAGGATATAGCATTTAACAAACATAAGCTAAAATATGCTATTACAAAATTCAAAACTCTCTCACACTTGTTAATTCCCCTTTTAAAAATTATACTTCAACCTTCCTTTTATAAATTCTCTTATCACATTTCACATTTGTAAAAAACAAAAAACAAAAAACCCCATAATCTTATTTTAAACATTTTAAAATATCTTAATACGTTAGCAGGAACATTCTCCAAAATATAAGTTTCAAGACTTTCAAAGAGTTATCCATTAAATGTTAAGTTATCCACCTTTAAACTTCAATACTTTAAAACTACCATAAAATTCAAAAGTTAGTCAACTTTAATTAAATCTTTTAACATCATAAGACAATCTCCAAAATATGACCAATCCTTCTTTCTTTCTATTTTTTTTTTACCTTTAAACTTCAATACTTTAAAACCACCATAATATTCAAAAGTTAGCCAACTTTAATTAAATCTTTTAAACAATCCCAAGAAGAGAACGAATTCCCAAGACATACCAACTACAATTTCAAACCCAAAATTTTTTGAAAATAAAAGCAGGGGGCCATAATTTATTCTTTATGTAAATTGGAACTGAGGTGGTGTATCCCCTCCTAGGTATGCTTAGATTCATACAGCCCTCCGAGTCTTGCTGTAGCTGCTGATCAGCTCCCAGTTCTACCAGCATCAAGTTTTCTCTCTTACTTCTAACTATGGAACTGATAATCCATTCCACTTGGTGGCAGTTGTTGTTGTTAGGGATTCACGTCTTTCTTTCCTTAGCAATAGTAATAGCATTTAGACTTGCGTACCGCCCAGTGGTGAAATCCTCCGCGGATTGCTACTGGTTCGCTGCCTGTGCATGTATGGTGCATGTCAAAAGCACGCTGCATGCACAGTGCACACCAAATGCACGCTGCACACACACATGTGCAATGCACACCAAATGCGTGCTTTACGTGGAAAAAGAAGGCTTAACATGGTAAGTAGAACGGGGGGAAAGCTGTGCCATGTAATTTAGATTTGCTAGAAACCAGGATTTCCTGCTTTCTAGTGAATATAAATTGCGCGGCACAGCTGATTGTCAGAAACACCAGTTCGGACGAACCGGTAGCTTTTATCACTACCGGTTTGCCCGAACTGGTGCAAACCGGTAGCATTTCACCCCTGGTACTGCCCCATAGTGCTTTACAGCACTCTCTGGGTGGTTTATAATGTCAACATATTGCCCCAAATATGGGGGTCCTCATTTTACTGACCTCGGAAGGATGGAAGGCTGAGTCAACCGTGAGCCCTTGTCAGGATCAAACTCCAGACTATGAGCAGAGTTAGCCTGCAATATACTGCATTCTAACCACGGCGCCACCAGGACGCCTTTACTGAGTAGGGCTTACTTATTGAGACAAGGCCTTTCTGGTAGAGTCAATGGCTTCTGTTCCAATCCCTGAAAACTGTCGCAGCTCCACTAGATGGAACCCAAATTGGAAGGTCTGCTGCACCCTGGAATTGAGGGTGCTGGAGAGGCGCTGCACGGCTTGCCATGCAGGTTAGGGAGGCTGCCCCACGGTGTGAATGGCAAGAGGGATCATGCAAGATGTGGGTCAGGGAGGTTGTGAGAGTACAAGAGGCACAGTGTAGGTTGGGGAGGGTGCGAAGATGCATGTGAGAGGCACTGCACACGTCAGGCATGGCACGCAAGAGACATGACGTGATCAGGGAGGGTATGTGAGAGGTGCTTCCTGGATTGTGGAAGGTGTCTGAAGGTATGTAGGGATGTACAGGTAATTGGTGCAGCGTGAGGGGCTGGAGGGAGGATGCAGAGGTGGGATAGATTCAACCCAATGATTTGTGATCTTTCCTGTTGGCTTCCTCATTGACCTTTGGGGAAAGCCATCGGGGAAGTTTGCAGATATGATCCCGTGATCATGGGGCACTTGGCAACCGATCGTCAGTGCAAATGGTTTGCCCAGCACCCAGATCATAATCACATGACCATGAGGGTGCTTGGATGGCTGGAAACCTGATGTCCCGCTATAACGGGTGGGCAAATATGGCCCCTTTATGACTTGTGGACTTCAACTCCCAGAATTCCTGAGCCAGGTTGGCTGTCTCAGGAATTCTGGGCGTTGAAGTCCACAGGTTGTAAAAGGGCCACAGTTGCCCACCCCTGCGCTATAACAACCATTTTGTTCAGCACCATTGCAACTTGGAATGATCACTGACCGAATGGTCGTAGACTGAGGACTATCCAAATCGACTTTGTTACCTCAAGCTCTGTAATTCCTAAGCAGCAACACTTCCTTTTTTTTTTGTTCCCTAGGACTTTCTTGTTAGAACTAATTCTGTCAGAAATGAAGGGAAGCAGTGTCCTAATCGGTGAAGAGATGGCCACGTTTCTGGCAGCGTCTTTTGAAGAGAAGTGTCGGTCGGTGCTAAGACTGGTTTCCACCACAAATGATGACGAGGTAAAATTCTCCACTCTTACATTAAAAGGTGAATTGTAAAATATAGCCTGGAGTTCTACACTGGAGCACTTGCACAAATTCTGGCAGCGTGATGGGCCCACATAGCAAAGGGGCAGCCCTTCAGTCATGGTGTCAACGCCTGCCATCTTACAGATTTTGACCCTATTCCCCCCCACTCCACCCCCCAAAGAACATCTCTGGCTTTGTGACAGTTCAGCTCAAGGGCAAGAACTTCCCTGCATACAACACCAGCCATACTTTGGTGGATAAATATTTTATCGGTCTTTCTTCCCTTAGAGCTCTCTTGGAATGTGAAGAGGTTAGACAAACGTTCCTTGCACATATTTACCTACTTACAATACAGTGTCATAGTGAGTCTGGTGTGAAAAAAAAAGTACCGTATTTTTCGGAGTATAAGACCCTTAAAAGAGGGTGAAAATTTGGGTGCGTCTTATACGCTGAATGTAGCCCAGCCCACCCGTCGGCCCCCATCCTTTGCCCTTTGCCTCCCAGCAATTTACCTCCTTGCAGCAAACAGCCCGTTTCAGTTTCAGCTTCAGCATAGCCTGATTAGTCGGTTGGAGCAGCCTCCCGACCATCAGCTGTTTCAGGCTGTAGGGATTGCCATTGCCTATTGCCGCCTCTGCGTGCCCCATTTTCGGCCTCCGCTGTTTGCTGCAAGGAGGCAAATTGCTGGGAGGCAGAGGCAGATTTTTTTTTTCTTGTGCTAATCAGGTTGGGCTGAAACTGAAACAGGCTGTTTGCTGTTTGCTGCAAGGAGGCAAATTGCTGGGAGGCAGAGGTAGATTTTTTTTCTTGTTTTCCTCCCCAAAAAAGGTAAGTGTGTCTTATAGTCCAGAGCATCTTATACCCCGAAAAATACGGGAAGTCCTCTAGTAAGAAATTTGCCATACAATCAGTTTGTGTGACACATTTGCTCATTAAATTAAATTAAATTAAAAATTAAAATTTGCTCATGCCAACTCAAGTCACAAAGTAACGCACATCAGTTGCAAGGATGCTGCTGTTTACTGCAAGAAATGGGAAATTGCTTTGTTTTCTTGCTTTCTAGCGGGGTGGGGGTGGGGGCTGAAACCAAGGGAAAGATTAGAAGAAGACCCACACTTTTGGGGGACAAAGATAGCAGGTGTGACTGCATGATCCAAGGGCTGACGCTTTAGTTTAGTTTTAGTTTAGTTTTAGTTTTATTAAATTTATATACCGCCCTACTCCCGAAGGACTCAGGGTGGTTAACAGGCACAGAATAAAATACATAAATACAAAAGTTAGAAACAATTAAAACCAAATTAAATAATTTAGCCCAAGACAATTAAAAATCCCAATAATTTAAAACAAATTAAAATTTCAGTTTAAAAATTTAAAACAAAGGGGAGAAAATTAGGCCAGGCCAGCTTGCTGGAATAGGAGGGTCTTAAGAGCACGGTGGAAAGTGCGCAGATCCGGGATCCTCCGTATCTCCGGGGGGAGCTCGTTCCAGATAGTGGGTGCCCCCACAGAGAAGGCCCTCCCCCTGGGGGCCGCCAGTCGACACTGCTTGGCTGATGGCACCCGGAGGAGCCCCTCTCTATGAGAGCGTACCGGCCGGTGGGAGGCTGTTTGTGGTAGTAGGCGGTCCCGTAAATAACCAGGTCCTAAGCCATGGAGCACTCTAAAGGTGGTAACCAAAACCTTGAAGCGCACCCAGAAGACCACCGGGAGCCAGTGCAGCTCGCGCAGGAGAGGTGTCACACGGGAGCGCCATATTGCTCCCATAACCACCTGCGCGGCCGCACTCTGCGCCAGCTGGAGCCTCCGGGTGCTCCTCAAGGGGAGCCCCATGTAGAGAGCATTACAATAGTCCAGGCGGGAGGTGACGAGGGCATGAATGACTGTGTCTTTATTGTCTATAACTCATAAAAAAAAAAGGGAGTGGCATTCTGATTGTGTGATCATGGCTGCCATCTTGACATCCTGCCCAAGCCCCTATGGATAGCAATGCCAGAAAAATTGTGACTTCGTTTGCTGTCTATATGCTTAAATGGGTATAGTTTAGCTCAGTGGTGGGTTGCCCCCGGTTCGGACCGGTTCACAAGAACTGGTAGTAAAACGGGCGGGAGACTCCGCCCACTGACCTGGATGTCATCATAAGTGATCTGCGCATGCAAGCACGCGTGTGGGCACGCTGCAAACCCGTAGTAAGAGTAAGAGTAAGTAGAACCCACCCCTGGTTTAGCAATAATTTAATCAAATCACATGCTAGTTGCATAACCTGCCTTCTTCAGTAAAAAATGTTGGAATTAGTTTTCATTTAGTTATAAGCTAATCAATCCCAAACTAATTCTTGGGATGTTTAATAACAAAAGACCTTAATAATTAGATAAAATTGGATAAAAGCTATACTGTAGCACAAGCCTCTGCAAATTCAGCCTTTATTTGTAAAAGTCTTTTTTTTTTTTTTTTTGCAAATGATAATTTGGCAATTGATAGAATTGGCATATTCAGGTGTGGTTAGGAAATGCCAAGAATGATTTAGCAGTTGAATAAATAAATGAGAATTTATCCTGTTTCCGATATACCAATACTGGTTAGACAGAATATTTTTTAAAAAGCCCTCTCATTCAGAAATACTCTTTAACATACCAATTGAATAGTTATTAGAAGCTTAATATAAATTATGGTGGTACAACTATACAGATTCTTAGTGTTCACAAATTGTGATCTTGGATCTGAGGGTTATCTGGTGAAAATTCCAGTATATTATCTTAGAAATAATTTAGTATATATATTAAATTCTTGCTGAATTTAAATGTCAAACGGGTTAAAGTAGATAATTTACCATATTTTTCGGAGTATAAGACATACCGGAGTATAAGACGCACCTACCTTTTTTGGTGAGGAAAAGAAGAAAAAGAAATCTGCCTCTGCCTCTGAGCAATTTTGCCTCGTTGCAGCAAACAGCCTGCTTTACTTTCATTTTCGTTTTCAGCATACTGTAGCTTGATTAGCACAAGGAAAAAAAAAAATCTGCTCCAGCAATTGACCTCTTTGCAGCAAGCTGCAGAGCCCTGCGCAAAACAGCTGAGAGCAAATCAGCTGAGTCTGGAGGCCGATCCAATCAACTTGTGCTAATTAGGCTGTGCTGAAGCTGAAAGGAGCTGTTTTTTCTTGCTCTTTGCTTGCAAGAAGGTAACTGCTGGGAGGCAGAGGCCAAAGGGTGGGGGCCAGTGGGTGGGCGGGGCTAAATTTGGTGTATAAGACGCGCCTAAATTTTCACCCCCATTTAGGGGGGGAAAAGGTGCATCTTATACTCCGAAAAATATGGTAATTAAAGTTAGATATTTTACGATGGAAGTGCATTATCTGATTTCAAACATTGCCTGTTTTCTGTAGGAAGCACTAGTTGCAATTCGTCTTCTTGATGTTCTTTGTGAAGCGACATCAAATCCTGGAGAACTGCAGCCTTTGCAAGCGTGTCCCGATTTGCTTGAAGTAGCTATCAGTAAGTGGGAACTTTTTTATGATTTCAAAACAGCGTAATTGAAAGAGAATCTTGTTTTTTAATTTTGCTGGAAAATAAAGTTGTACAATTGCTGTGTGAAGTAAATACAGGTCGTCCTTGACTTACAACATTTAGTGACTTCAAAGTTACAACAGCACTGAAAAAAGGTGACTTAGGACCAGATTTTTTCCCTCCAATTTTTTCCCTGAAACAGACTATTTCAGTGTGTTGTGGGTTTTTTTTTTTTTTTTTTTTGATTTGTAGGAGGGATCAGATTGATTTTCTTTGATGTTACTACCTGCAAAAATTACCTTCTTTGTTTAGGCCTTTTGAAACTTGTACATCTTGCTGGGAAGCAGACCACAAATATCTTCACCATCACTTATTCCACCGAGCAGGAAGAAATTTCCCATCCAGCTGTGGGCTTTAAATCACATCTGATTCGTCTGATTGGAAATTTATGCTACAGGAATAAGGGTAACCAAGACAAGGTAAGCTAAAGAATAGAAGCACCTTGTAGGGCCAATGACACTTAGCTTTGGCATCTTTTTGCAAAGAAAGGACCAATATGATGTTCTCCCTCATTCCCAAAAGACTTCAAACAATTTAACAATAATAATAATAACTTTATTGTCATTGTATGTATATACACAGTATACCCATACAATGAAATTCACTTAACACCCAAAGACCAGGTCCAACACACATAACAATCCCCAAACATCCCCACCTACCCACCACAAATTCCCCACCCCTAAACCACCCAAACATTCACACAACAGACCAAGTAATGCTGTCCAACAGCTCACTGATGGTGGCCTTTTAGTTCATTGTTGAGTGCAATTATAGCTCTGGGATAAAAACTATTCAGAAAAATGTGTGGTCTGAGTTTTAATTGTTCTGTATCTTCTGCCAGAAGGCAACAGTCCAAAAAGATTGTAAGCAGGATGGGAAGAGTCTCTGAGAATGTTATGCAACTTCCTCAAACAGCGAGATTCGAAGATGTCGTCCAGGGCTGGTAGCTGGAGTCCGATGATATTCTGGGCAGTTTTAATAATTCTCTGTAGAGCTTTTTTGTCCGTTGCAGAGCTGCTCCCATACCATGCAAGAATGCCGTATGTCAGGACACTCTCAATGGGGCTGCGATAGTAGAACAGAAGTAGATGCTGAGATAGATTTATCTTCCTGAGCATTCTCAGGAAGTACAGCCTCTCCTGTGCCTTCTTCACAAGCATGTTAACATAATCTGCTATCCAGTGGTGAAATCCAATTTTTTTTTTACTACCAGTTCTGTGGGTGTGACTTTGTGGGCATGGTGTGGCTTGGTGGGTGTGGCTTGGTAGGCGTGGCTTGGTGGGTGTGGCAGGGGAAGGATACTGCAAAATCTCCATTTCCACTCTAATCTGAGGCCAGCCAGAGGTAGTATTTGCTGGTTCTCCGAACTGCTCAAAATTTCCACTACCGGTTCTCCAGAACCTGTCAGAACCTGCTGGATTTCACCCCTGCTGCTATCCAACCTGAGATTTGGAGCCCTTTTTAAAACTGCTGTTTTATAGTAATCATCATCAGGGAGATTTCACAATATTTATTTGTATTTATATAATCATTGGATAATGAAAGATTCTTTACATAGTTTTCATGCAATGTCATAAGATGTATGAATAAAAACATAAACCTAAAACAGAATAAAAATGGCAGAAGAACAGCCCTGAAGTTCTTCTGGCATCAAAAGGGAGATAGTGTTTTGTTCTTTGAGATTTTTTTCCCCCCTTTTTACTTAATCCCTTGTATTTTTCATAGTTTCTCATCCACACCTTTCAGGATTGGTCTTCCTTAGCTTTCTGAGATCAAGCCAAAGTTAGCTTGATGCTGCTAACTGCTGAAAGTGGTCCTCTTTCACCCCAAAGGAACATCTTCAAGACTCAGTAAGGCATGGGAAAATGTATTTTTCCTGAATGGGCCTTTTGTGACAGACCACTCCCATTTGATGAGGGAGCCAGCCATACCCTCTGGTGGACGGAATGGGACACCTTACAAACAATGGCTTCCACCAGGGCTCTATTACAATTTGCCGTGGCCAGCTCAACACGGCCAACTTGCCACGGGACAACTCGTTGCAGGACAATGTAACAATTCTATTTAATCATTGAAAATAAACTTTTTTTTTAAAAAAAATTGCCATTCACATTTCATTCTGTCCCTCCTTTTGCATCTTCTCTTTAATGAGTCTGTTCCACCATTTCTTTGATATTCATGTGACTCTTGTTCTGCAGTGAGTTGTCCTGCGATAACTTGACCATGGTGAGTTGGCCACGGATAATTGTCATAGATCCCTGGTGGAAGCCATTGTGTTAAGGTCATTGACTTAACACTACTCCAGAAGCTATATGACCCCTTGAATCCCCGGGAGAGGGACCATGTGTTGTGACCCAGGCCCAAGTAGGTAGTATTAAACGCAAACAGTTTGAAAACAAACAGACTTTATTAGAACATCTGAGAATTAACTCATTCTCAGCGTAGTCCAAACTAAATTAAAGCAAATTCTTCAAAACACCATTCCTCACCGTGATATAATTAGGCAAACTGCCAAAGGCTTTTCTTGGCAAAAGTTCAGAAGCAGAAGACGCTGACAAGAAATAAATACAGTGAAACAATTCTCTCAACGTTCGTTGTTTTCCGGCAAAGAGCCCAAAAGCCGTTGCTGGTCTTTTAAGCCTTATGGGAGGGGCCAAACATCTCCTGGCCTTACTCCCAAGTCGTCCTCTCTGCTTTAGCTGCTCCTGCCTTCTGGCAGTTCTTCTCTTACGTGCACTAGGAACAGGCTCCTCCTGTTCCTCTGCCTCTCTATTGTCAGCTTCTGGAGGCTCCGAAGTCCACACATCATTCCCTGATGGCTCTGGCCCCATCTCTGCCTCCGATGCAGAGCCCTCATCCGGGCCTTCTCCAGCCTTCAGGACTGGCCCATGTTCTTCCTCAGCCTCCTCACTGTCTGACTCCGCTGCCAACTCTGCAGGCTGCTGGCGGACCACAACAACCATTAATATTTAAGGTTATAATGGGATGAAAAGCCATTATCTGTATATTGTCCATAGGATAAGGAGATGTACTTCTTGATGAACTGCAGCTCGGTGGTTTCACACTGAACAGGAATTTCCTCATAATACAGAGATATTGGTTGCAGGAGAGGAAGGACTGTTAGTCTTCTTCAGACCTGCTTGAATCTTATTAATTCGTGTTCCTCCCTAGCCCCATTTTAAATACTTTGGGGATTACACACAAGGAAGCCTTTAATATCCCATTTAGTTTGGCCCCTACATGTCAGCTAACTCATAGAGGTTAGCATGACCTTGCCTTCTGAATGTCGAAAACCATTAGTCATTGTTATATTTGTTGTTTTAGTTTTCAAAGACAGGCTGCTAAGTAGGCAGTTTTAGGATAAAGCCTAATCAGGCATGAAGAGTTGCAACTTTGGCTTGCATATTTTCCTGAAAAAATCTACAAAGAAGAAATTGGACATCTATGATTATTCGGAATTCCTTTCTGAGATCCTGGTTTGGGTAAACGGAGGACAGGACCAATGTATAATAGTGTATTTTTCACAGATAGTGTCACTAGCATCCTCCAGTTTGGACTGACAAATTTAAGAGTGGAAGCAAATACCCTGTTCCCCCCAAAATAAGACATCCCCTGATAATAAGCCCAATTGGGCTTTTGAGCGCATGGCAATAAGGCCAAGCACTTATTTCAGGGTTCAAAAAAATGTAAGCGTTTTATTTTCGGGGAAACACGATACTTTTAGTCTTGTTAGGACAGGGGTCTGCAACCTTAAGCACTCAAAGAGCCATTTGGACCTGTTTCCCACAGAAAACAAAACACCGGGAGCCACAAAACCTGGGTGGGCGTGGCCAACTCGATGTCACTCACTTCTACCAGTCACATGACCCCCCCTAGCCACGCCTACCCAGCCGGTCATTAGGGCAGAGAACCAGTTGTTAAAAAACACCGGGAACCACAAAACCTTTTTGACGTATCTCTCTCTCCCTTCCTTCCCTCCCTCTCCCCCTCTCTCTGTATCTCTCTGTCTCTGCCCTGGCTGCTTCTCTATCCCCTGCTGTCACCTTTACCTTCTCAGGCCAGGCGGGGAGTGACTGGGAGGGGAGGGCGAGGGGTGGGGCCAGCCAGTGGTGGGATCACCCGACAGGGAGCCACAGCAGAGGGCCCAAAGAGCCGCATGTGGCTCCGGAGCCGCAGGTTGCTGACCCCTGTCTTAGGGCCAAGCGGGTGAGTGTGTATGATTTCGTGATCCTTGAGTACCTTATTTGCATGTTTTGGTTGCTGCCCAGAGCTTCTTAGATAGATGGGCAGCCATATACAGTAAATTGGATGGACGGATGGAGGGAGGGAGGGATAATGGAGGGAGGGAGGGATGGATTGAGGGATGGACAGATGGATTGATGGGACTAACTTTACATATCTCACCATGTCATGGTGTGCTTAAGCATGGTTTCTAAATTTAAGTCAAAGAATCCCGGTTCTCACAGGGCACAGATCGAGGTTTATGAATCACGGTGGCTAAATTCTCCTAGTTGTAAGTCAAAAACAGTTCAATCATGCTACAATTTGGGACCATGTGTGAACCTGGTGGGCCCTACCCTATACTTTGCAACAAGTCAAATGTTAGAAAAGAAAAATATTTAAGTAGATCGGAATTATTTTCAACTGTTTGGTAATTACCCCAAATGGAAACAAAACTGAAAAAAAAAAAAAGCCCTGCTGAGTTTAATGATATGCTAAATAATTACTAATAAAGTTGCTTCCATATTTTCTGTCTAAACAGAATGCTCTTATCCCCTATGGATTTTTTTTTGGGGGGGGGGGTTATTTTGCTACGTTTGCGTGTTGCTAAGCACTGAACTATCCGAAGGAAGCAAGCATATATTTAAGCCTTACTTGCTTTAATTGTGACTGCAGAAAGCGCTATGAAATCTCATGATGGGTTTCTTCATGTAGTATCTTGTTGAGAGATGCCTGAGGCAGAATTCATCTCTGCCAGGCACATACTTTGGTTCTTATAGATTCTTTACAGTAACTGTCTGTTTTTTCTTGGACACTTGATTCAGAATGGCAAATTGTTAGCCTTCCACAAAATTTATAGAATAGAATAGAATAACAGAGTTGGAAGGGACCTTTGGAGGTCTTCCAGTCCAACCCCCTGCCCAGGCAGGAAACCCTACACCACTTCAGACAAATGGTTTTCCAACATCTTCTTAAAAACTTCCAGTGTTGGAGCATTCACAACTTCTGGAAGCAAGTTGTTCCACTGGTTAATTGTTCTGACTGTCAGGAAATTTCTCCCCAGTTCCAAATCCAAATTATTGATCTTAGCAATCCAGTCTAATAGAACTATTGAATTAAGAAATAATTCAACCAAGATTGATGAAATTGAATTTAGTATCTAGCGTCTCTAAAGATTGATCAGAATTATATGGTA